CCCCAAAACCCCAAAGCCCCAAAACCCCAAAACCCCAAAACCCCTAATTTCCACAATATCATTGAAAATCCCTCTCCTAATTCTATTTCTCTTCTACTTAAAAGTCTCATATCTGTGAAGGCTGCCTTTACTTTAAATCTGGTAAAGAGTCATTGCTCAGACTTAGGGTGCTTACTTTTAGGTACAAGATTTAGGGTCAGAAAGAAGAGTGGGATGGGTTTTAAGTGATGTTTGGGAGGATATGGGGGTAATGGATGATTGGGAGTGTAGTTTGAGATGGGGAATTGTGTTTAGAAGGAAAATAAGCTAGATTTACAGGGCTTTGGTAAAGATATTGAGTATTATTGCCTGCTTTGCTTGATGTTGTTAATTAGTTCGTCATATCCGAAATATTTTCCAAAGAATTCCATTACGTGGGTATAAATTCCATGATTGAAGTACCAAAGGCTTGTCTGAGTTTGGTCCCATATTTCATGAAGCCACCAGCCTGACATTTTATTTCAATTTCCCATCGAATCAAGCACTCTGTTTACAACTGTTTTGGAAGAACAGGTGTCAATAAATTTTCGATTAAGAGTAAACTTTGTGTCTACTGATCCAGGTCAGACTGTCAAAATATCTATATTACGGTCCGCTTCTTTTGCAAGTCCTTGAGAGAGAAATTTAACAAAGCCTTTAGTAGGAGCATACATTGGCACTATCTTTGCAGGAGCACCTCCGATAGTACTAGACATATTAATAATACAGCTCTTATTAGACCTACTAATCAGCCGATTATAAAATATGTTTGAAAACATTACCACAGCGATACAGTTAGTCCTGATTATTCCAACCACATCTTCTTCAGTAGCTTTCTCTAATCTGTCTCAGTCCATAAAACCAGCATTATTGACAACAATAGAAATATCATACTGCCAAAACTCTGTCAATAACCGTTCAAAATCTTCATAAGTCACTAATCCCTGTAAATCTCATACTTTCAATACAACTCTTCAACCGCTTGAAACCTCCAATATCTCCTGTGCTGCTTTCCTCAGCCCTTCCTCGCTTCTATCAACGATTACCAAGCTAAACCCTGCTTGAGCAAACTGTCTTGCATATTCCAGTCCAATTCCGTTCGCGCCTCCTGTGACCAGGACGTACGAGTCCTTGCCATATCGCTGCACAAGGTTTTTCCTTGGTACTCAGAACATTCTGAATATAACTGTTCAAGCACTGAGTCCAGTGCTTGCCAGTCTTCAGATTCCTAGTAGAAGGACTAGGCTGGCAGCTGCTGGGATGAGCCAAGTGGCTAGAGCAGTTGTGAGGATTATGGTGCAGAAGGTGAGCGAGGAGTCCATGAGTGGGAAATTTTATATTTTAGGTGAGTGATTTGGGGTTTTGGGGTTTTGGGGTTTTGGGG